ATTTGGTTTTGGTTGCTGATTTTGGTTTGTAAAGAAAAAGTTTAAAATTCATAAGAAATGTTCCTGTTTTTTTGGCGGGCTTATCTAAAGTAAAGCTACTGTAGTAAAGTTGCTAGAGGGGCATACTAAGTTAGATTAGGTTAGGTTTTGGTGGCTGCCCCTTTTTAAGGGGCTCACTTAGACTGTTGTTGTTACTTCTTTTTAAAACCACTGCTAACGGTAACTGCGAAGTTAGAGCGAGAATCGTTGATTGCCGAGAACGATGTTTCGTATACGGTAAATGTTAGTCCCGAAGAGCTTCTCTGGACATATCATTTAGTACGCACCCAAGTGCGCATGCCACAATCTAGCAAAAACTTGGCAGTCTAGACTCTAGAGGAAATATTGAGCTGTGCTTCATACAGCTTCGACAAAAAGGATTCGGTAAAATATTGAATCTCACTGAACACCGATAAAATAATGGCCTGCAAGGGCACCCACTAGAATCAAGAGATCCAGTTTCGCGAGCCTAAGGAGATCCATAGACCGCCTTCAGTCCACCCTTGTCCAAAATGAATTCGCGTTACACATGCCCTGGTTTTCCTCCTGCATTCGCTGAGTTGACCTGAGAGAAGTCCAGAAGTAGTCAAGGGAACTCCAAGCCTCTCTCTTGTTGGCGATTCTTCCGCATCTGGCCAGTTCGTCAGCCGCTCAGTTTCCTGCTATATTACTGTGGTCTGGTACCCAAACAAGTCTGACAAAGTAATATTCCGGAGCTATAGAAATTGAAGCTTCGAGCGTACCATAAGCATATATGTATGTAATACTCCTATATTGGCAGTAAGAGCTAATACCGTAAGAAAACATTACAGTACAGATATGTCAATAAACGCATACAAAATATTATAAATCAACATGTACGCAACACATACACAAAAACGGTACTGCCAATATAGAAGTATTACATATATGACCTTAAGGTCATGTGGACTCCACCTTTAATTGCCGCTTGCCATTCTAAGTAGAAACCTACCTGAAAAACATTATGAGTGTGCTGGAAGCCTACAATTAAGATTGATGGAGAGCTACCTGGAAAATTTACCTCTCCATCGACCCTTCCGTCAAGCTTCGACCCATCCGTGTAAAAGTTTACCGATACTATTAAATCACTTGAACACTAAAATCGTTCGCCCCTATGGCTTTTGGCGTTCTTTTAAACTTTGGCACTACATTTCTACTTTTAAGAGTGCTGCGTAAACTAACCCTTTACAACTAATCATACAAACAGGTGTAAAATGACCTGTCTTGGACATATTTAATAATAATTAATTGAATATACACCCGTGTAATTTTCAACCAAATTATTTGCACGAAACTTGGAAAATTTTTTTTTGATTTGAAACTTCTTTAGCGGCGGTCGCTTGGTTGGGAGTAAAGTGGAAAATTCAACGGAAATTGTCAACGGAAATGATGCAATAGGAATTGTGCAACGGAAATGGTTGGCGCTTAAATAAATGCTTCTTGAGTATATGCACATGGTAATAATTTAACAAAACCTTGCTAATAAAAGGTTAAAGAAGAACACTTAGAAATAAACCAACAAAAGAATGAAAGTACATAGATAAGGAAAAGGATAGAGGCAAAGGTAAAAAATAAAAACAAAAACAAAGATGCGGTAAAATAAAGGAATAAAAGAAATTCAAGGTAAATTTAAACACTCTACTTATATAAGGGCAAAGGAGAAGGGGAATATGTAGAAGAAGAAAATGATAAACATAAAAGTAAAAACAAAGATAAATATAAAGAAAAAAATGAGGTAGGATACCGACAAAAGTAAAGATCAAGATGGAGGAAGAAAGATTAAAATAAAGGTAATTATAGAGAAAAGTATAAAGACAGAAGAAGCAGAAGCTCGGCCAAACACTAACATATGTGTAAGCGCCAATCTATTATTATTACTATTATATGTATAGACAGAGACACAGATACTCAATCTATGCACTATTTTGGGTTTTCGGGATTCTCGGGACTTATCTTTATAATAATCAGTATTGTTTTTCGGTTTTGTTATTGATATTTTTATCGATTTTGTTACCGAAATTTTTACCGATATTGGTATCGATTTTGCTATCGGTATCTTCGGAACTTATCGCTATAATAATCGATATTTTCATAGATTTTTTATCGATATTTTTATCGATTTGTTATCGATTTTGTAAACCATATTTTTAGCGATTTTTATCGATGTTTTTAACGATTTTTTACATTTCATTTATTTTTATTTTCTATTAATATCATTTAATTTTCAAATTAGACTTTGAGATGCGATTGTTTTAAGTAGAAGAATATATGTATACTTTTTAATTTCATTTAGTTTTTAGAAACTAATTTTATTTATGTTTTTATGTAACTTAATTTTCTTTTAATGTTTGTTCTTGTTTTTCTAATTAAATTGTTTTTGTTTTTTTAATCAAATTACATAACTTCTTTTACTTTTAAATTCTAATCATTTATAAAGGTACATATTTTTTTAAATTTAATTAATTTTATTTTATTTTTCTATATCATATTTTTTTCTTTTTCAATTACATAATAATTTTTTTTTAATTCCATTTATTTTTTAATTTTTGTTTTATTCTTTAACTTATTTTTCTTTTAGTTTTTATATTTTATTGTTTTAAACCGAAAAATATTTTTTTTTAAATTTCATAAAATTTTGAAACGTATATAATGTTTTTTGTTTCTGTAATTAAGTTTTTTTGTTTTTAAGTTTTAGGCTTTATTATTTTAAATAGAAGCGCATTTTTCTGAATTCATTTAAGTTTTAGAAATCTATTTTTTTTGCTTTTACTTCTTTTTTTAGTTGAATTGTTTCCTATTTAATATTTCTTTTAATTTTCATTTCATATAATTTTAAGAAAACTTATTGCTTAACAAAACAGAATAACTCCAAGATCTTTAAATTAAGCTTTTGATAGGTCGAAAAGAGATTTCAAGATAGTTGCCAGAATTGATGAAAGACTTCTGTCTTTAATTTTAGGAATACAATATGGGAAAATCATGACGGACAATGTTGTTCGACACAATTTCTAATAGAGAAATGCAAAATAGAAATGAGTAATTTTTATGTACATATGTATGTAGTTAGTTCTATCATTAATTTTTTAGTTGAATTACTAAACTAATGTTGATGGGATATTTTGACAATTACGGCTTATTTAAAGTTCTATGTGCTCGTAAAATAGAAATAAAAATAAGAACCTAAATGACAAGAAGATGCCAACGTTTAGCATTAAGCAGCCGTGGATTGAAAAAAATGGGGCGAATCGTTGAAATCTTACATGACTTGATGCCTTGTCAACCCCCTTAATTACTACAAATTTTGATGCATGCCCAATGTTTCTTTGTATGAATAAATCTGTTCATGTACAAATAGTATCTAAGTATGTGCGTGTATGAGTGTAATTTCCGAGAATTTACATGGTAATGCATGGTGAATTTTAATTAATTAGGCGTCGCAAACGTTACCCAATTAGTATATGTATACATAAATGTATGAGTTTGTGTGTGCGCGTATGCAAATATGCATATGAGTGTGCTTGTATGTGTACAATTTATGTAGCTATTTGGCAATTAAATTACGTTCAACGGAAATTGGCAACACTACAAAGAAAATCGCATTCAAGCATTAAAAACTGGCAGACTGTCTGCCAACCCGCCCGCCAGCCACCCATTTAACGCACTATAGCATAACGCCAACAGCAAAAGCAGCAACTGAAAATAGACTAAAATGCGAAAATACAATAGCATAAGTAGATAGCGGCACACACACACGTACACCCACACACATGCCTGTGCATATATATGTTGGCCAACATTGTATGCGTAGCTAAAAACAAGTCAATGAAAACGAATAAAAGACTAAAAACAAACAACAACAATACGTAGAAAAACGAAGCACAAAATCGGAGCCAACTCAACTCAGCAAATGCTTTAAAACAAAACCCTGAAATCCATTTCCCGTGCAACCAAGCGTTTAAACAAACAAATTTTTCGCTAAATAATTTGACAATTACTCACATCCCTCAAAGTGGGGACGCTGACTGGGGGCAACTATTATATATACATATAGTAAATAGGAGAAGTCCGCAACAGATTTAGGAGACGAGTTGTCGAGCGCGAGGACTCACAGGCAGGCAAGTAAGTGAAACGTGAGCGGAAGCGGAAGAAGAGAAGGGAGGCAGAGGAGCTAGAGAGTTAGACGCCTCCCAGTAGTAGCAGTCTCCGACTCTCTATCTCTCTCACAACCAGTAGGGCCCTGTAGGGGCTGTTAAAGAAGACAGAGGTGGTGCAGTCATTTATTTTTGTTTCAATGGCGCACATTTACGCTACCGTGGGCAATGGCGTGCAACGTAGTGCATGCGAAAAATGAAAAGTCGCCTCGGAACACACCATTACATTTGCTAACGAGGGGAAAACAAATTAAATCATTAGATTGTGATACTGATTCTTTAAACTTAAGTACCGAGCGTAGTTATGGTGTGTCAAAAGATGCCGCATACAGCAGCGAACTCACATATGCATGTATGTATGTATGTGAAAGGATGTATACACTCGCAAGGGTACACATAATTGGGGGAAAAAATCGAAAAAAAAACAACTTCTATAAAAGTCAACTCATTTCCATTAGCCAAAAAAGGCGGAGCTACATACTTCCTGCATGCGCCCGAAAAGTCACTCAAAATTCCACTCATTCACAAGGCGAGCGCGCCGCAACAGATATTCTCCAATGGGGCGTGCACATGTGGCAAGAATCACCACCACAACGTCATGGGCGACACAGCCACCACCACCGCCACACACAAGCGGCGCCTCGAGTATGGGGTGTCGCACTGAGTGCCGCAGTATCGCTCAGCATCCGCTCAGTAGCAGTTCCGTTGTCGCAAGCAGATAGTACGGGTTCGGTAGTCAGCCAACTATTCAGTTACTGTGCGCCTCGCTTAACTAGATTAGCGCCGCGCAACAAATCCGAGTGACAGCGCAACCAACTGACACAGCTGACGCGCGTAACGTCAGAGCGCGCGTTCAACCCTTCGCATTACGCGTGAGTGTGACTGCGTTTTAGTTGTGTTTGAGTGGGGTGTGCGTTGCAGACATCTGAAGAAGAAGAAGAAGAAGCAGGAGAGCAAACCCACCGCGGCTATTCTGCCCCTCTGTTGATACGCACTGCAGATGAAGACGCGACGCGAAATCAGTAACAGTCGATTGGCTGCCATCAGAGTTACAAGTACTTAAACGCCGTCAAGCGGACGGAAGTCAAAGGTCGATCGGTCGTCACTAATAAATCTCGCTAAATACTTCCGTGTACGCGTATAGGTGACCGTTGTGTCCAGTGTCGTATGACTTTAGGCACCGGTGTCGAGTGCAAGGAATAAAAGTGTTTGCACAGCGTCAGCAAGCGTCATTACAACAAGTGAACGCTTAGTGTGCGGAACAGTCGTGAGCACGGTGGGAACTTTGAATCATAGTTAAGTGGAGAATAACTGGGTTAACGAACGCGCCTTTACTCGCGTGTGTTGTGAATTACAAAAAATTTTGTCGAGAAACCTTATTAAAATATTAAAAAAATATATATATTTTTAAGTGTTTAAAGTGCCCCCGAAGCCCTCCGGCAAAATGGTGATGCTGCAGTCACCAGCCAAAAACTCCGACGCTTTGCCAGCTAATGCCGTCGGCGGCCAACTGAGTCCCAACTCCAATCCCGATTCGCCCAAATCGAACACTTCACCGGAGGTTGCAAGCAGTAATGCCGGCGGTGCTGCAACGCCCACGTCAACCACGTCTAGCGCCTCGCTAACGCCAAAGATACCCAAATTCATTATAAGCCAACAATCTCTAGCAGCCGCTAATAATAGCGGTACCTCAACCACCGCCGCCGGCAAATCGTCCAACGCCAATAGCGACAGCCTGCGCTACTCGCTCGAGCGTCTAAAGCAGATGACAGAGTTGAATGTTGTGAATCGCCTAAGTCCCACTGCAACGAACGCCGATTCCCCTGAACACGCCGATGCGGAAAAGTGCAATAATAATAATAGTAACAGTGTGAACAACAATAACAACACTTATACTAACGGCCCCACAGGCAACAGCAACGGCGGCAACAACAACTGTAATACCAACAGCCGTCCCTCCCTTACACCGCCAGCCACATTCCCCAGTCCGCCACAACGTAAGCTGCTTGAGTTTAACGATGTGCCCGGCCAATTAACGCGCCCAGAGCCTTTGCCTCATCCGCATGCCGCTCTCTTGCAGCAACATCCACATTTGCTACAAAATCCGCAATTCATCGCCGCCGCCGCCGCTGCCCAACATCAGCATCAACATAATCACAATCTTCAGCAGCATCATCAACACCAACACCAACACCAGCATCACCATCTCCATCAACAACCGCCAACGAACCATCCGCATTCGCATCCCCACCATCCATTAGCAGATTTCCATCCAATGCGTCCATCGCTGTCCACTATGGTTGGTTTGACGCCACCACCGCCATCGTCGCAAACTTCGAATTTACATCTGCATCTGCCATCGCCCGCCAGCTCGCCGCTTTCGCCACCCACATCACCGCTTCAATCACAACATTCCGAACAGCCGCAAACAACACCGCAACCGCTGTCACCCGTGCAGCCACAACATCAGCACCAGCACCAACACCAACACCAGCAGCCACATTCCACATCTACGTCATTGTCTTCCGCCTCGTCGAATATTGCACTTTCGCCCCAACAACATCATCTGCTGTCAACGCCACCCTCATCAATATTGCTCAGTGCTCCGCATACCCTTCCACATGCCGCCCAATTGGCCAATTGTAGTCCCTCATCAACACTTACGGCGCCGCATGATATGGATCTGGAAAGGATTAAGCTGGTCGCTGCGCAAGCAGTGGCTGCCCGGTCTACCGTGACATTGGGCTCAGCTGCTAATGCGTCTAGTACCTCCTCGGCTGCCGCTGCCGCCTCTATGGCCGCAGCGGCATCCGGCCTGTGTTTGTCATCGTCAAATCCGCGTCCAGACCTTAGCGACTATGGTTTTCGAATACAGTTGGGTGGGTTGGCGGCGGCGGCCGCTGCAGCTGCAGCCACTTCACGACAAATAGCGGCGGCAAATTATGCACGCAGTGATACGAGCGAAGAGTTGAATGTGGATGGCAACGATGAGGACAGCAACAATGGGTCAGATAGCACGCCAACGGTGAGTTTTGGGGAATTGGGAAATGGGGTTAATGCCGTCGAATCAAGAAAGTGTTTAGTATTCGCATTGATATGTATTTATTACCACTTCATTTTAAAGCAGTGAGATAGAAGCGAAGCTTGTGAACACCTTTGGTATTAAAATTTGCACTATCTGAAATAGAATAGATCTTGGTGATCAGTTCAAGTCACCTCTGCGAGAGATAATCATACCCTCAAATCGTTCACGCGGAATGTGCATTGTGGCGTCCTCTGTGCGGTGCCATGGTAATTTCGCATGAGTAAATGAAAAATAAATTATATGTAGTCTATGCAGATGCCACGAAAACTACATCGCCGACAGAATAGATGACAGCCTTTCTGTTCCTCAACAAAGAGGTTTTACTCTAGGCGGCCATCGTAGCCAAGTTATTAGGTCCCAGATTTAAATCTTACAAATACGAATTTTGTATTTTTATTTTAAATACTTGTAGTGTTCTTGGAGAAAATATGAAAAATCCACGGGATTTATTCCAAAACAAAAAATTTATGTATTTTTTATTATACTTGTATTATCGATTTTGAGACGAGCAACACGATTCCACTGTTCAAAATTCGAAAAAACTTTAACACCTTAATTAAAAAAATTCATTATTAATTGCTTTTTTCTATTTGCATGCAGGTGTGCATCCTTCACTCAATTTATTGTCCCTCGAACAATAAGTGCAATTGACGGCCTTTAATTTGAGTCAAGGTTGAAGCCTTTAGACCTTCTAAGAACCAAGTTATAACAATTTTAAGCAAAACTTCTAAACTGCTTTATTAGTTTTAACTGCGAAATTGGAAAAAATTGCGTAAAATTTTGAATGAAATTTCGAAGTTTAACTTCAGAATCGTAATCATTTAGCTCTTGAAGGGCCTAGAGACTTCTAACTTGGCATAAATTAAAGGCTATGAATTGCACTTATTATTCAGGAATATATCATTGAGTGAAGGACGCACAGCTGCATGCAAATAAAAAAAATGTAATAAATAATGCGGGGTTGATTATTTTTTTTCGCTTTTTAAGCAGTGGTATCGTGTTTCTCGTCTCAAGATCTATAACATTAGTATAATAAAAGATACAAAAAATGTTTTTGTTTTTTTAATATATCCGTTGGATTTTGCATGTTTTTTTTCGAAGAACACTATTTTTGACCCATTTTTTTAAGGTCAAAAAGTGCTTGTCGCTTAATGGCAATATTTTCTTGAAAGGCATACCAAAATATTGCTTCTGTCGCACGATTAATTGGCATAAAGTGTTAAAAAAGCACACTGTGTGCCGTTGAGTTAGCTCGAATATCATATTTTTCAGTCGAAAAAAGTAATTTTGAAATTTTAAAATTACTACGATGTACTTTTCTCAAAAACATATGACTCAAAACATATGATTTATTTAAATCTAATTCATTTATAAGCAATATATAATATAATAAAATAAAATGTCTATCGTACTTGGGCGTACAAAATTTTTGATTCTTAAATTGTTGAATCGCTGCTGTCTTGAAAAAACGTTAGAATACTTACCTCCTAGCCAAACTCCATAGAATTTCACTCCACAGTGTAGAATATGTTTTTTTTGTACAGTGGGTTAAACTCCACAATTTTTAATCAACATTTTCTATATTATTCAAAATATATTATGTATTTATTCGCCCTTTGTCAATATTTTACTGCTTATCATTTTAACCCTTTAACGACCATTTCTTTTGACTTGTGGCAATATTCACGATATATGTGAGACATGTGCCACTGTTCAGTATTAATAATAGCCTACTTCTGCCAAATGACGCAATTGCGCTTCCTGTTGGATTGGTTTCCTCAGAAAAATATATAGTTATTTATCAATCTAATCCTATATATAACTCAAAAATATTAAATTTCAAGTTGTGCCGTTATTGCAGAGGACTATCGATATCGTTAGAGTTTGGTTGATGCCGAACATATAGCCTCACAGTGTTAAAGAAGATGTGACCATCGTACAAAAGATCGGCAGATTGGCTTGATTTCACGATACTAGTACAATAATATTTGTAAGGGGTTTATACACTTTAAGGCGAAGTAAATTAATGAGATAACATAATTTTCCAAAATGCACTTAGAAAGATAATTTTATGTCATTAATGAATTAATATAATTTAGGACATGTAAATAGGCGCCGCGCCAATTCCGCTTTCTGGTAGTGAAATTTTTGACCGTTATTTAAATCAATAGGGACTGTATCTCGGCAACGGTCCGAACCGAGCGCACTTGTGCACACCCCATATAACGGTAATTTAGAGAAATACGAAATCTTCGATAAATCAGTAAATACTAAAGCTAATTTATTCATATTTATTCAATATGTGCAATAATTCTATACCAAGAAATACCTATATGATAAAATTTTGGAAAATGGACGTGGTATCGCCCATTTATAATCACATATATGTATCTCGGTAACCGTTCTACCAATTTGTACCAAACTCGGTTGGTTATTGCGCTTGCCACATAAAAGCAACCCGTTGAAAATTAGATATTGAAATCGGACTAAAATTGCGACCACTTTTCATATGACGGCAAATTTCAGAAATGCTTGAAACTTCGATATTTCGAAATTTAAGGACACCAATTTATTCAAAATTGATACTAACAACAATCCCTTGAAAAGAAGTAACATTATTTGGGAGTAGGTGTTCGTCAATTTTTGCCAAGTTTTAACGTATTATTTTTGTTGTTATTTAATTTTGGTTATTTTTTTTTTAATATAGTTCATTCTTTAACAAAAACCGTGTAAATTCAAGTATCCAACTTTGTCCAATATTAAAATAAAATCAACAAACTTTCGTACAAATTTCGAGCTTTTTTAAAAATTCAAAAAAAAAACATTTTTTTTTTTAGCCATTTGAAACTTTTTTCAACTAGAATTCAATTTGCTACAAAACTACATAGTTTTCATTTATATATTTTTATATTGGGCTATTGGTACAAAATATAAAAAAAAGTCAAAAGATTGGTACAATACAGCGATGTTCTATAGAAAAATTTCAAAAAATTTTTTTTCGTGATTGGGATAAAGAAAACTATATCGGTATTCACACAATTACAATACGATTGGCACCAAATTTTGGCAAATACCAAATCGTGCGACACTGCCTTTAAACTTGTGTTTACCAAACCAAATTAAATAAAAATAAAAACAAAAATAATATTTTAAAACTTGTCAAAATTTGCTGCGGCTATAATTTTTTCGACCACTGTATGTTAGTTGAATATGAATACTCGGCCGTGCTATCAAAGTAGCCGCAAAGTGCATTTTAAAATTTTCAGGCAATAGCCTCATGCGATTATCGCGAAGCATTGATTTAAGATTACTTTTATTTTTTGTTATTTTTGTGAAATATTTTATTTTCATCAGTATTTTTCTTTTCACCAAACTATGTTGAAATGAATGTGAAAATAAAAAAAATACTTTGTCAGAACCGACAAAGTTTACCACCCACCTCCCTCCAAATTACTCTAACATAAAAATATACATATATCAAAAATGAGTTCAGTGAACATAAATAACAAATTATTTGTCAAGAAGACTATTGGCGTGCTATAATTGATTCTCAACCCACTGTGCGCCATGCGATTAAATTGGGGCGCGATATAAGCGGTAAGCTTGGCTCCGTAGCGTGTGAGCTTCTAATTTTTAAAGAAGTAAGGACAAACGATTTCACTCAAATGCACATCAAACAGATCTTTTTTTATTTAACGCCTGTGCATTGGATCTTAAAAACTCATAGGTCGAGATCTTTGCTTAAAACTTTCCATAAAACACTCAGCTGCAACTACTACGGCCTATGCGGAATCAACTATCCTTAATACTAAGCTCTACAGCAGCAATCGGTGCGCACTGATTTCTCTAGAAACCACATTAACAGTCCGATTTTATTCCAATTCAGAGCATATATTAGTTACGTAGAAATGTGTAAATATATTATATTCGAAAAATGGCTAGACAGGTGGCGCACTATGGGCTAAATCTCATTTTTTGTATAAAATAAAATATATCGAGTTGAAAATATTTGCCTAGTCTATAATACCGTGCGATAGTAACTTTTACACCAAATAAAATCAATATATTCGCAAAACCATGGGCCAAATATAGTAAAACTGCGCTTTAAGATTTTCTCTTTGACGTCAGATTTTTTTTTTTAAGGACTTTAAGATTTAAAAAATATGATTATTTCAAAATAGTATATGAAGAATTTAGTGCAATGTCGATAAACGTTATGTGTATCGAATTAAAGAGAAATTCTGTAGAATTAAGATAGATAAAAATTTCTTCTTTGAATAACCATAAAATAGTATAATATTTATTTTGGAGAGAATTATGTGTCATCCTCGAATTTCGTCCTCCTAACTCTATAAGTTTAAAAGTAAAATTAATTAAAATTACATTTTCGTTACCAATTCGTCATTGAAAACCTACACTTTTCGTTATAAATTCTACAGAATTTTCTCTTTCATTTGGTAGCCATATTGTTTTTCTATATTGACCTAATTAATAATTTTTCAAATTAATCATTTCTTTCAAATTAGTCTTTCTTTTCAAATAATTTTTGAAATTAAACATATCTTTGAAAAATATTTTTGTTTTAATAAATTTTGCTAAGGGACAAAATGGTGGCATTTAAAATTGATAAGTTGCATAAAATCCTCAAATATGGTCTACTGTTAGGGGAAAGCTATAGTTGCTCGATTTAAATTATATTTTTTTTTAAATATTGTGCATATGTACTATTGTATTTATTAATTAATTTCCTATTTAACAGGCCTGCCCTGTTGATCTGACACGATCGGTGCCGACATCCGCCTCAACAACTTCCTCAACGACCAATGCTTCAACGGAAAAAGAAGCCACAAAGCGGCTAGCTTTTTCAGTGGAGAATATTTTGGATCCCAATAAATTTACTGGGCGAATTGGACCTTCGGGACATTATGGTGGACGCGGTTGGGGTTCAAGTAGTAGCAATGCCGATCGAGATGATGATATGCACGACGATGAACACAGTGAAGATATGTCAGGTGAGTTTAGCGAAATAAGTACTTTTGTAAGTACGAGTGTGTAGGCATAATAGAAACGAGCTTCGATGCCTTTTTTATTTTTATTTTTTTTTATAATGAAATTTGGATTTTACTACGCGGAAAAGAAATTATTCAATTAACTCTTTGGGTACCGGATTTAGGACCTAATTTTCTGCGGAAAATTTTCATTGCCTTTGCACACAATTCCAAGTTTTCGCATAAAAATTATCGCGTTGAGTGGTATGTGCTCTCCTCATTTTGAAACCACTTTTCGCACAGATTAAAATATTAAATTTCAGGTCAGTAAAAGTCATTTATCCTGGCTGCACGGCGCTGAGAGCTGGCGGTTATGGCGGCTCTTACGTCTTTCTTAAAGAAGTACAACCCATTGCAAACAGTCAGTTTTTGCGGGCGCAATGACTCTCAGAGCCTACTTTACCCAAGATTCGGCAACTTTGCTTATTAAAATAGCGTAACTTGAAAAATTTCTTTAAAACGGGCGAAAATTCAGCCTCTGAAGTCCCACCACCTGGAATAAGAAGTTCAATAACACAGGACCACAAAGAGAAATCGAGCTGGAAAATCTCTGAGCTCAGTTGGTCTAGAAGTTTTCATGGTGACTGATCGCGATTCCGGCCATCTGCCTTTAACGCATATAGACCAAGGCCGTATGTGTTCGGATTCCGACATTTTAGGTGCACACGCGGTTACTGCTTTTAAAGATTGACCCTAATATTTTTAGAGTCACTGATCACGATCACGGTATCCACATATGACCTGAATTCGAATAATATACAGGCATGTTCTGAAATTCGAAAATTTGAAATCGACTCGATTTCGATAATTTTTTCGATGGTTTTTTATCCAAACATTTTTAAGTCTCGCATTAAAATGATTTACTTCATATCGCTGTTGCTTCCTTTATAGTTTTCAATTAGAATATTCACTCTTTTCATCAGATATAATTAAAAAATATTTGGCAAATCTAGTCGATTTCAAAGATTCGAATTTCAGAACATGCCTGATAACTTTTCGATACTGAAATAATTTTTTTAATTTTTTTATAGTTCAAGTCACCACCGATTTAAAGATTTTCATTTAGTGGGTATCGAAGCATCAATTGGCAGAATTTTTTTTCTAAGATCAATCTTTTTCGGCGAACGTTTCCATTTTGCAGCGCTTATATTGAGCGTAGCTTATAGGCATAAACATTTTAGTCCTTGGCTTGTCCTAAAAACAGCCTAAATGGAAATTTCTTAGTAATTTTTATTTATGACCCTTAATTACTTCCTTCCCAGCCAAAGATACTAGCATGCCGGGGCGTATGAGTGACAATAACGTGTAGCATCAATATCAGCACCTCACTAGTGCGGCCAAAATAGACATTTCCAGTCCAGTAGCAAAAAAAAATGAATAAATGTTTATTAATTTATTGTTACGCTTCTAAAAAAATCCGAGCTTACTAATTTGAGTTATTTACAATCATTGGGCTATGGAGTTACTCCAGGTCGAAAGGTTGTTTAGCACTTAAAAATACCTTTCAACGAGATATTACACTTTGAAACTGAGTCTTAGATAAAAAGGTTAGACAAAAACTTTACTTTTGGACTCACCAAGGACGAAAATTTATATGTTCCCCAACTCTTCTCAAAATAAGCTTTCAATCAATTTTTTTAATTTTTATCTTTTTATATGGGAACCAACTTAGGCTACTGTGCACTAGACCATACCACCTTACCAACAAACATATTTGTGCAAGGCAATTTAAAAAAAAAAAAAAAAAATATTTTTGCCGAACATAGGGAATAATTTTATTGGACTGTTCAAAATATATCCTTAGTTAAAGTTTAATGATTTTTGGTGTGCTTTAAATTGCTGATATTAGGGTGGTACGTTAGAGTTGTAGGAACTCAGATCTGGTGGATAAGTACTAGAACGGAGTACTTGAGGTCAATAAATTTTCAATGAAAAACTTGCTTCCCCGAGTCAGAAACATCGATATACCATATTTTAATATGCGACTGCAAATGCCGAAGCACAGTGGTTCAAAACTGGCATTTAGTGTTTACAATTCACTGGAGCCTTCATTTTTCACATAATTTGATAAATCTTTTTTTTTGCCTAAAAGCAAGTAAAATTTGCAAGAGTTGGGTGAGCTCGATTTTTGAATTCTTGTTTGTTTGTACTAAATTTTTTAGTGCAAATTGCAATAAAAGTAGCAATGTTGAAAATAATCGATATGCCTGTTCCAGTTAATAAATAAGACATAACAAAAACTCGTTGAAACCAATTGTAGCGTTGCCCAAAAGAAAAAAAAAAATGTTAGAAGGAAAATTTTAAATGTTATAAAAAATTATCATCAAAATAAAAAAATAAATCAAGTTTCTAGAAAAATGTTTGGTATGCAATTTTATAGAATATTAAATTTTAGTATAACAAAAATATGTTCCGCTAACATTTCGAGCAGCGTTTGTTACATTACTAAAAATTAACGCGAACTCTTGCCCACTTGTAATTTGCACTTAATACATAAAAACAAAAAATTATTAATTTTCTTTATACTCTTTCTGCACCTTGCATTAAAAGAAAAATTAAACAAATTGAGTGAAAAATAAAGGCGCCTGTGAATTGTGAAAATAATATGCCAATTTCGGACCACAGTGCGAAAGTATAACGAAAAACGTAAAACGTTCAGCAAACAAACTGTCAAAATTGTCTTGCAAAAATATTAAAGACTCAGGGTACGGCAAACTTTTTATCCGATCCAGTCTACTGTGCATGCAATGCTTTTTATAAAAAAAATTCTCATAAAAGCTATCTTCTTTTCGAAGGCGACTTATAATTACGGTACCCTTCTGTGAGCATACATATAAAGATTTTTATACAAATTTTTTTGTAAACTTTTAATTTTTTTTTAAATATATTTTTTGTACATTTTTATTTTTTATTTTGTAAGCTAAAGTTGCTTTTTGAAATTTAAATACCTTCAATCCTAATTTTTCAATAAATTTTTTCTTTTTATTTTTGTAAAGTTTAAATTTTTTAAATACATATGTATATATGTATGTACTACATATGATCGGGCCAATATTTTTGTAAATACACACTTATGTAAATTTTTACTTTTATTGTAAATTTAATTCTTTACCAATATTTGAATTTTTGAAGGTGTGTTGGAAAAACTTGTAGTAACCCAACTAAAATACAATGAAATATAGTAGATAAAGCTGCACGCGATTCCTTTCTTTCGAGAGAGATTATGGCTTTGAGTCGAAAAATTTAACTCCTTTTTACAAATGTATGTGTGTATGTATGGATGTATGTAAGTAGCTTATAATGCATTCTCAAAAATTAATTTTTGTATTTACTACAGACGAATGGAATTCGTTCGTTCTAAAAAAGTAGCAATAAATATAGAACTTGTTTGTGGGCAATCATGCGGATAATATTAATGTATGTTTGCACAAAAAAAAAAATTCGAGTTTAAAATTAGTTACATGTATTAAGGCGATATTTCTTAGCCTAATCTGTGAAACATTCTTTTTATAATATAAAGTAAAGTAAACCAAATCCATTTAGATTGCATTCGAATCATGTTTCTTAGTAAGGCAGAATGTATGTAGAAATAAAATACAAAACAAATTTTCCAGCTTTCCACTCCAAATACCGATAGCATTTCAATTTCAATAAATATTCGCTTTCAGCAAAAAGCAAAAAGAAAGGACCTCAACCCACTTTTGCCGGCACTCGTCATATTTTTGAATGATTGTTCGTCGAAACGCTTTCCAAAATTTTGTTCTCTTTTTTGTTTCTGACTTTGTTTTTGAAGAATTTGCTGAAATCACAACACCTTTGTTTTTATTCAACCATGCCTTGCTGGCGAAAGGGAAGTTAGTTGAGTTATTTGGGCAGGTTGGCTATGCTTTTGAAAGAGACTATTTGTTTTGTGTGGTACTTGTGAGTTTTGGCTTGCCTATATGAATATATAGAGATGTCTACAGGCACGTGAAACAGTTTTATATACATACACAAACATATTTATATTTGGAATATAAATTTTTTTTCAAATGCATGTATGTAATCTTTCGTTTCAGTGCTGTATACTAACAAAATGTGTTGAAATGTTCAAGAGGCGGAGGTTGTTGTTTTGCATTCACATTTTTTTTTTTTTTAATATTTCTCCCCTCAAAATAAATGGAGGGGTACTCAAAATTTTCGATTTGCTGATATACCTATCCATCGTGTAATACTTTTAATGGTCATATGTATGTCCTTGCCCACATATGTATGTAGGTACATATGTACAACACAACAATCAAAAGTAAGCATCAGTACATCCCAGCAAAAAATCGGTAATCGCTTTTAGCGGTAACGTATTCTAGAACGAATTGCCTTATAATGTTTCAAATTGTTTCGCTTCTTTTACAACATTTTATTAATTTCGATGCTTTGATTCATTACGGGAATGCAAAGTAGAATGCTTCCCCGTTGTCAGCTGAAAAATATAATGAATACGCAAAAATTCTTTTTTTAGCATTAATTTGTGTGGAAAACTGCATCGCATAAAAATCATGTTCTCGTTTAATTTACAGCGAAGTTGAAGTTAGTCCTTGAAGTGAAGTACACGAGTGTGGAAGTACAATTTTAAGTTTAATTAAATATGTTTGTATGTATATAGCGATTTTTAAGTAAGATCTAAATACATAATTACATACATACATAGGTATATATACAAACTGATTTATAAAAATTTTAATTAATTTTAACCTTTTTTTCTGTTTTAAATTTAATATAAGTATGTATTTATCTAGTCATTCTACATTAGTTTCTCTGTAAGACATTCTTTGTTCGCCTGTTCGTTCGAAGGTAAGCTGCTGCGGGTAAGGGCTTACGGCCAATGACATGCCATTGTTAAAATATTGTCCGCTTGAAGCGAAAGGGTAAGCGATTTCCATTACCTCGTTTTTTTTTGCTGGGATGTTTATGTCAATTTGTGTATA